CCGATTTTATGTTATATATATCTAAATTAGATAGAAACGATGACACAGAAATTTTTGGTTTACACTCAAATGCTGCTATAACATCCGCAATTATAGAAACGAATTCCATTTGTGATACTGTCCTTTCTCTTTTACCAAGAACAGTTTCCGGAGGTGGAAAAAGTACCGAAGAGTTAATAAAAGAAAAAATAAAAGAACTTCTTACAAAATTACCTCCATAATTTGATGTTGAGAAAGCCAGTTAAGCTCATCCTGTTAGTTATAATGAATCTATGAACACAGTCCTTTAATAAGAGCTAATTCGTTTCAACAAATTACTAAATACAGTAAGAGTATCTTTAGTTAATGTAGGAAAAGCAATAGATGGTCTACTTGTTATGTCAAGTGATTTAGAAGAAGTTTTCAATTGTGTTTATGATAATAAAGTTCCTGATTTGTGGCATAAGGTTTCTTATCCATCATTAAAACCTTTAGGTTCTTGGATTATTGAGTTCTGCTAAAGACTTCATGAAATGGATAAATGGATTAAAAATGGAACTCCTACAAGTTTTTGGATTTCAGGATTTTTCTTTACATAATCTTTTTTAACTGGTACTTTATAAAACTATGCCAGAAAAGTAAATTATTTTTATTTATTTTATTTTTACAAAAAAAGTATAAAATTCCTATTGATACTTTATAATTTGATTTCTTTGTAATTAAAGATGGAAGTAAAGAGTATGATACAACTAAAACACCTGAAGATGGTTGCTATGTTTATGGTTTGTATTTAGATGGAAGTAGTTGGAATAATGAAATGGGAGTATTTATTTATTTTTTTTAAAAAAATATAATAAAAAATTAAATAGTATTTAGATGAGCCTTAACCAAAATAATTGAATTCTAAAATGCCTTATATTTGGTTACTACCTACTGAAGAAAAGAAAGATTATGATAATGATATGACTGTTTATGAATGTCCTGTTTACAAAACTTCTAGAAGAGCAGGTACTTTAAGTACAACAGGTCATTCTACAAATTATGTTATGAGTATGTATTTACCTATTTCACCTAATGTATAACCTAGACATTGGGTTAAAAGAGGTGTAGCAGCATTAACTTAATTGAATGATTGATTTTTTTATTCTACTTATTTATTTTTTAAATAAACAATAATTATTTATATTATTAGCAATAAATATAAAATAATTTTATTATATTTTTATCAATCTTTACTTTTTTTTAAAAAAAAATAATAATAATATAAATTTATTATAAAATTTTTGAACATTAAAAAGAATATTTAGACTAATATTTTGAACATTATTGGTATTTATTTTACGGGAAAAATTTCAGATTTTTAATAAGAACAGTTTCATTTATTATTGTTATAAAAATATAGTACTTTTATTCTATTATATTTAAAAAAGTTAATCAACTATGTTTATACATTATTATTATTATTTTAATTGTTTTTTATTTTATTTTTATTAAACTCTAACTTAGATATTAAAAAAAAAGAAATAGAAGTTTATAACCAAAAACAATTTAAAAAAAATTAAATTTAATTTTAAATTCTTTTATAATTTATATATTTTAATATATATATCATTTTTAGTAATTAACTCATTATATTTTAAGAAATATATATAAAATAATTATTCTAATATAAAAATATCTATTATTTTAATATTTTATTTAATTTAAATATAAATTATAAAATAAATATATATACTTTAATAATAAATTTTTAAAATAATATAAATCTTTTTATTTTGATATTTGTTTATTCTTTTTAAATTTTCATATTTTATATTACATTAGAAAAAATATTTTAATTATTTATTTAGGTTGTGTTTTCTTAAAAAACATATATTTTTTTAATAAATTAAAATTGATTATATTCTCTATTTATATTTTTATAAAATATATTAAAATAAAATTTAATATTCATTAAATATCATTTTAAAAAGAGTTAAAAGTATTATATCTTAAATTTATATTTATATTTTTGTAATTAATAAATAAAAAAATATTCATATTTCATTATATACAAAAAATTAAAATATTAAAAAAAGAGTGTTTAAATCAAATTATATTTTTGTTTAAAAAAAAAATACCTATTCAACTTCTTTTATTTCTCGAAAGATCTTTCAACTCATCATAAATAACTAATACAAAAGCCCCTCCTAAACTTCTAAAAACATTCGACAAGCCACCTTTATAAAGTGCCTAAACGCCTCCTTCTTCTTTATATATTTTACTAAAACAATCAAAGGAATTCCTATAAATAATATTATCCCTCCCTGATTACATCATAAGTCTTCTTCTAACAGTATCTAAAGGATAAGCAATTAAACTTGCAAAAATGGTAATATTTTATGCAAAAACAAATTTTTTAAAGACTCCACTTTTTTATAAATAAAGTTTTTTCGCAGTATTATACATTCCAAAATAAATAGCTCTATAAACAAAAGTACACCCAAAAGAAATTAAAAACCCCTTATAAAATCCCAAAATACCTTCTTTTTTATATATCTATCTAGAAAAGTCTCTTAATCCATTAAATTATCTTATTTTTTCATTACCAATATCAGCCCCAATTCTAGTTCTTGCAAAATCGAAAGGGTATAAAATTAATTAGGCCTATCCTCCTGCTAAACCTCCAGAAAGTACATTTTTAAAAAGCATTAAAAAATTACTATTTTTTTTATTAGTCTCTTCGTTTGCAAAGAAGAATAGACTATTATTTAATTCTAATAAAGCCATATTTAAGGCCTAGGTGGGTGTATACCTTATTACATTTATCATATTTCCTCTCCATAATTAAAAAAAACCTTCTTCATTAGTAATACGGGCCATTGTATTGTAAATTCCATTATATTTGACTGTTTCTCCGCTTTGTATTCCCTTATTCATATCTTAAGTTTATAAAAGAAGCTTTACTCTTTCCAATGGAGCAACAAATGTTTTTGAAATTGCTGCTGAAATTCCTCCATAAAAAAGATTATGGAGAAAATTTATATGCTTTTTTAACTCTTCTTTTTATTACATTAATTAAATATATATATATATATATATATATATATATTATATAATTATATATTAAAATATAATTATTTATTTAGAAATACTTTTATATAATATTATATTTTATTATAATAAAAACTACCAATTTTATCAAAAACTTTTTGATAAATAAATAAAAATGTTAAATATATTTATAATTATATATTTATATTTTTTTATTACATTGCAATAAGGTAATTTTAACAAATGCTTAAATTCAATAAATGATTTATTTAACATAAATAAAACACAATAATCAATTTAAAATAAATAAAGAATAGATTCCCAAATATATAGTAGTTCTAAATACATAAACAATTTAGGCGATTAATATTATTGTCAAAATATATCGAATACTAATTTTATTACCGCATATTTTAATCTAGAAATAAATAATATATTAATTACAAAATCCCCTACAGTTTGGTGTCTAGATGATTCTTGTACTTCTCAATTATTAAATTTTAATGTAGATTATATAGAGTAGTTTATAACAAATATATTATTAGCAAACTTAAAAGTATAAAACATTACAATTTCTAATTTAAAATTTTATGATTCTTAAAATGATACTCCTAATACATCTTTTGGCACATTTTTTACTTGTTTTGTTTTTTTGATTATTTTAATATGCCTTCTCTGGTCCATTTATGTAAAAAGAAAATAAGAAAATATATTAATAATAACCGAAGGAGGTCAAAATACACAAATAATCCGATGCTTTGACATAAAATCAAATTTCGAGAAGCTTAGACAATCCAACAACTTAAAATTAAAACAAGTAAAATTTAGTTTTTTTAATATTATAAGATTTTTCTCATTATTATGGATATTTATAGGACATGAATATTTAATAAGAAGTCAAAATATAAAAAACATAGGAGATTACAAATAAATAATTTAATCAATAGGAATTATAACAATAATATAAAATGCCCATTTTGCAGTTGATTTATTTTTCTATATATCAGGTTTTCTATGTTGTTATATTTTAAATAAAAAACTTAATTCATCAGATTTAAAAAATTAAAGCTTTCTTAAAAAATATTTTATACTAATTTTAAATAGAATAATTCGAATATGGCCCACTTATTTTATTTGTTTACTTATTTATTGGTAAATTATAAAATTTACAGGAAATGGACCTATGTGGTATTTATATTTAGACGAAAGTGAAAAATGTGATTCTTATTTTTGGGCAAATCTACTTTTTTTAGATAATATAATACATAAGCATGCTTCTAACTATTGCTATATTACAGGATGGTATTTATCAAATGATACCTAATTTTATTTTATAGGAGTTTTAATAATAATATTATATTAAAAGAAAAAATTAATGGCAAAAATAATTACATTATCATTAATATTAATTTCATTATTAACAAGTTTTTTGATTGCATTTATTGAAGAGTTTAAAGTACCTATAGTTTCTGTTAATAATATGCCTTCTTTTGATTCTAGTTTTTTCACTTAATATCATTTCAAACCTTATATTAGAATTTCTCCTTTTTTATTCGGTTTATTTACTGCTTTTATACATATTGAATATAAATAATAACTTTAGAATTTTTTAAGTTAAAAGATATTAATTAAAATATTATTATGGTTAATTGGAATTTCTTTAATTAACTTTTTAATTTGGATTATTGTTCCTTTATAAGAAAGTAGTGAAAACTGGAGTTTAAGTGGACATTGTTTTTATTTATGTTTTAGTAAAATATTATTTTGTTTTGGGTTTTATTTAATTATTTTACCTTTACTTATTTAAAATACAAAAATAATTAAAATTAATGATGATAATATTAATGTCTATCATTAATAAAAATAATAAGGTTCTTGGAGTTTTATTTTTGGATTCTTTGCTAAAATTTCACTTTCCTTTTATCTTTGTCATACTATTATTATTTAAAGGACATTTTTTAATATTAAAAGTATCAAAACGTTTGATGGATTTTATATTTTCTAAAACTCAGTTATTGATTATTTTATAAGTATATTTTTTTCGATATTCATAAGCTTAATTATTGAAATACCTATTCAGAATATATAATAATTGTTATTTTTTAAATTCAAAAAAAACGAAATATATTTAAAAAGTTAATAAGATGATATTAATACTAAACTTATTTAATAAAATAATATTGAATGAAATAATAATAAAATAGAATATATATATATATATATATATATATATATATATATATATAAGTTTATATAATATATATAATTTATATAAATAATTTATTATTTAATAAAGATTATAAAAATTAAATGAAACAAAAAAATAAATCCACATATTTATTAAAGTATTGTTTTTTTTTATTTTATATAAAAATATAATAAGTTTTTTTTAAAAAAAAGTAAAAACTAAATTAATAACTTATATTTAAATATAGATATTTTCTTAAAATAAATATAGAGTTGTACTCAATTATATTTTAAATTAAAATCAAAAATGTTTTTTTATTTTCTAAATTTAATTAACTTAAACCAAATTAATTAAGTTTTGGATAAAAATTATTTTTATATAATAAGATAAAGCACCAGCACAGCTTTTAATTAAAATCTTAATATTTAACTTAGCTTTAAAATAAAAAACACATCATTAATCTATCTAATTTTAACAGAAACTTATAAAAGAAGGAATTTTATTATTACATTAAAACAATTTTAATTAAAAAGTAAATATGAATAAAAAAATAAAAAAAATAACACTATATCATCTGCTAATTTATATGTTTTTATAACATATTAAATTTTCAGTTAATTATAAAAATAAAGAGAAAAAAATATTAAACATAAATAATAATAATTATTATAATTAATAATAAATTAAAATAATAATCAAGATATAAAATCAAAGAATTCTTTTTTATCAAAAAAATAAAAATCTATACTAAAACTTTTCTAAAATAAATAAAATATTATAAACATAACTATAAAAATTTATTACTATTTTATATATTTAAGAAAAGAAGCAAAAAAAAATTTTATATTTTTAGTAAAATTAATACTAATAATAAGAATAAAATAAAAAAATATTTTTGGAAATATCTAAAGTAAAAAATTAAAAAATAAATCAACAAAAAATAGATAATATTGAATAATTAAATTTAAGTATCTAAATGGAAATTAAACACTATATATTAAACAAATAAATATATGATTTAAAAATAAATATTTTATAAAACATAAAAATACAATTACTTAATTATAAAAAAAAAAATAAAACTAAAGATATATATTAAAATTATTTAAATAATTTGATTTTATTTAATCAAAATTAATTATATTGGCTTTTTAAAATAATAATTATAATAAGATTCACTAAAAAAAAATACACTAAGTTTTCTTTCTCATATAAAATGTTTAATTTTATTAAAAATAAATAATTTATAACAATTTATTGAAGAATAAAAGCGAAAACATTTTTTTTTTATTTAAAAAGCTTTTCATAAAAAGCACAATTCTATTTTTTTATTTTTTCAAAACTAAAAAAAAATAATGAAATATATTATATTTTTAATTTACTTTTAGTACAAAAATAAATAATAATAATGAACCAAAAAGTAAATATGAATTCATTTTTTCATTATTTCATGGATTTATTATAATACATATAAAAAATTAAATTATTTAAAAATAAATAGAACAAGTATATATTTTTATTGAAAAATTAAAATAATTAAATATACCTTAATCATATATATATATAAATTTATCCAAAAATCATATTTAAAACAAACTAATTATTTTTGGAATTAAGAAATACTTAATAATTATCAAATATAATAAATAAAATTTTTAAAAGTATTTGTTTATATTATTTTTTAATTAAAGATTTTAATTAAAAATAATTTATTTTTTATTTTAATAAATGTTATTTAATATATTAATTAATCTTTAATAGTAAAAAGTTTAAATTATTTTTCGAAAAAAATAAGTCTATCTTTTTTGATTAAAAACTATTAATAAATTATTCATTTTTATAAATGCTATCTATATTTTTAACATTTATAAATTTAATAATTTAAATTGATTTATTGTTAAAAAAAAAAAAAATGATATGAAATAATTAAATTTTAGGTTTGTTATATATTCAAATTAAACTAATATAATAGGGAAAGAATTTATAATTTTTTCTTTTTTCTTTTAAAGATATAATATAAAAACTTTTGTTTAATAAAGTTAAAAATGTCTTAAAAAAATAAAAATAAAATTAATATTTTATTTAAAAGATAAATATTTCTTAAATAATAATTTTTGATAAGTATATATATATATTTTTATTTTTTTCGAAGTTAGTTAAATATATAAAGTTTTGTATTAAATATTTATATATAGTACTTATATACACTCTAAATTATTTAATTATATCTATATTTACAAGCAATTATCAAACCTTTTTAAGATATATTTGAATTTATTTTTTAAAATATAATACATTTTATATTATATTAATTATTTTTGAAGCAGCTTTTAATTTTAATTAAACATATTATATGTTTAATTAAACATAATTTGTCTTCATTTCTAAATAGTTTAGATAATAAATTAAAGGAATTTTTCAGAATTATATGGATAGAATTGTTTAAAAAGTATTAAAATGATAATTTTATTTTTTTCTTTTATTTTTATAAATATTTCAATTTTTAATTTATAGACATCTTCCTAAATATTATATATAAGATTATTCTATATATTTATTATATAATGTATAATCATAAATATCTTAATATTTTTAAAATATATATTTTAATATATTTGATTCATAAAAAAAATATATAAAGTCATTTATATTAATTTTAATTTTTTTTTAATAAATAAAAATCTAAAATTATTAAATA